TAAAACTCCTGAAGCACGTCTAGTATGCATGCTGGAATTTAGAAGAAACAGTGTCCCTTTACAGGTAACTTCTTTTACACTATGCTATTTCCTAATATATACATACGGTTTGGGAGAGCTTTTCCCACCTCTGCTGCTGGTGTGCACGGTCACTTCACCTCTTTCTCACCTAACCTCTACATCTGCACAATGAAGCTTTCCGAAAGAGACTCTCCCCATCCAGCTTGGTGGAGGAATACCGTGCTAACAGCGGTGTGACAGAGGCATTGAGAGGACGGATGCTCCAATCTGGAAGGCAGGTGTTTCTGTTGCTCTGGTGAGCTTAAAGATATTTGCTTTTTGCCATGAGTATGGTTTGTCTTCCAGCAATGGGACCAAATTTTTGCTAGCACCAATTCCTTTGTCCTCCAACTCCACTGCTTTTCTCTGACCCTTTGGAGTCCATACCCGTGATTTGGAGGAGTTTATCGTGTCCCTCTCTTGGATAACCGTATGATCCCAACCTCTAAAACCCATCTCCCTCTTAGGAAGTGTGATTGAGGCATCTGCCACCAGTTTGCCTGGGAGACTGCTCAAGCATCACCCTCCTGTGGACCCCACGGCAGCTGGGGAGACCCAGATAATGCTGAAAAGCACCAGTCGAGTGATGGAAGGTATCTTTTACCTTCTTTCATCCATCAGACCCGTGGGCTCCTTGCCAGGATGCCTGTAGCGCTAGCCATGGCCAGGGTGGCAGCTCAGGGAAGGCCAGAGCCTGTGTCTTTAAAGATTAATAGTGTTGTTTGCTCATTAAGGAGATCGTTTTGAAGCCAACGCTAGCCAGAACATTCGAGTGCAAGCATCTGTTTGCTACTGGGAGAGGATATTTATTGTCTGATACTTCAATGGATGTAAATAAACAGCCAGACCTAGATAATGTTCAGACAAACAAACAAGCAGCTGCCAGAATAGGTCCCCTGGTAGTTGACCTTCGGGAAGCATCATGCTGATGTTTTAATAGCAGCCGGCTTTGCAGAACGAAGCCCAGTGAGTACAGCCTTCCGGGAAGCAGGATTAATGTGCTGCCAAACCGTGTTGGTCCCCGGGAGCTCTGTATATGTGTCTTGGGCTAAAGGAGGGTAGGAGAGCTTGGGGTGCTGAGTAGAGCATCTTGTAGTCCAACGGAGCGTGGGCTTGTTCAAGGCAGATGTGTCGGCAGTGGGAATGGGTATTCCCGCGGTGGAGGTGGTGAGCGTGTTTGTGGAGGAGTGTGCACATGTCTGACAGTGGTGGTTGTGCTGGGCTGGGCATTTTGAGACTCATGTATGGTCCTGGAGTCCTTTCCTTCCATCCATCGCTTCTTGCTCCCCTTCGTCTTGCCGTGCAGAGGTGCTCACGGTTCACAGGCAGTTTCAAGGAGAAATCCCCACTGGACTGTCAGTCAGGCTCTAATCCCACAGCCGAATAAGAACATCTTCAATATAAGAATACCCGTACTTCAGTCAGAAGAAAACTCTGTCTATGGCAGCACCCCAGCTCCACGTGGGGCTTGTGGCTGATGCTGGCAAAGAAGAGCAGGAACAGAACAAACTGCTTGTGCGTGCTTCAAATTCCCTGCAATTGGCAACTTGGGGAGCTTTCCGAGCAAAGATCGTATCTGTGTCCCTGACTTCAGTGGTGATCACTTGCAGGCTTTGATGGGAATCTTCTCATTTCCCCTTCACAGGCTCTTCTTCTGATTTTTTTTTTTTTTTTCCTCTAATCCAAATGCCCTGGGTCTAGTGAGTGTCTGGGAGCCAGGAATAAATCTCTAAGAGAAATTGCTGTTGTGTTGTCTGATGCTCAGAACTGAGAAGAACGTGCAGGGAAGGTGGGCTCCATGCCTGGGGTCAAACATAAGAAAGCCAGGGTTTAAGACAGGTAAAGGGATAGCTTGAGTTAAGGGCCAAATTTTTCGCTGCAAGCTACGATAATCACCTCTATGCTGGTGCAGGGCTCACACGGTCTGGGCAGTGTGGGTTAAAGTCTGCCAGACTTTCTGGCCTTCTTCCGAATTTTCTTTTTCCTTAGCTACTAGCTTTAACTACAAAGAGAAGTCTCTGCACTTCCAGTTGTTGGGCTGTGTGTGTGCATGAGTGCACGTGTGTGTGTTTGCACATGTACGGCAGAATGAGCCCTGTTCCTCCCTCCCTCCCTCCCTCTCTGCAAAATAATGATTTTGCAGGCAATTAGGCTAGCAATAGCTGTTAAATCACTTCCAAGTATCTCTGTTTTCCTGGTGTGAAACCTCTGCAATCTTTTACCTGCGCCAAATGCAGAGGGGAGATCCCTGGGGGCTGTGTCTCCTGTCTACGCGGTTTGTTAACTCCAGCTGACTATTTCTCCAGCCTGCCTCTTCCATCTCTGAGCTCCCTCTCCTCTAATGGGGCCTGGCAAAGGCTGAGGACAGTGACTGCGCCCTGGGGTGATAATTGGATGCTTACATATCTAGTGGCCTACAGATCTGACCCTGACGATGCTGAAAAATCAAGGTCAAAGCAGCAAAGACATAAGGTTTGTTTAGCAGAGCGATCAGCAGAGAGAGCGAGGATCTTCTGTAGCCCTCTGACGAGGACAAGCAGCCCTAAGGGAGCTGGGGGGGAGAGGCAGAGCTGAAACAGCAGGCAAAGCTCAACGACTGCTCCCTGAGAGTGAGAACCTTGTGCAGGAAAGTATCCTGCCATGGGAACCGTCGAGCTGCCCTGGGCAGAGCCCCAAAGAGGGACCCCTGTGTGTCTCAATCTGCAGCCCTTTCTGTCTCCTTCCTTTCTGCTGAGTGTCCGAAGGGGAATGACTCATCTAGAGACCGTTGGCCTCCTTGCCCTTGACCTCATGGGTGAATCACATCAGTGTCCACTTTCAAGAAGAGAGACTCTGAGGAGCTGAATTCACCCCTTAGGGACCATGAACATGAGCGAGCCATTCCCTCTCAGGCAGTCAGAGCCAGCGGGAGGTACGGATGCTCCGTGTTGGGCTTCAGGCCCCGACCTCTCCGTGTGTCGATGCTGCAGAGCGTGTTGCTGTCATCACCAGATCCATCAAGATGACAAAGTGACTGCAAATCCTTTGGTGTCATTTGACCAGCCCAACGGCTGATACCTGCACGTGTGCCCACTTCTGCGGGGGTTGAGCAGCCTGATGGATTGCACACAGGATCTGAGCATCCCTGAGCACCCTCCTCACCCTCCGCTGTCACAGACAGCCCCTCTAACTCTTCTCTTCCTCATTTCCCTTATTAGTCTAGGGGGAATAAGGTTTCTTTGTCGTCATACAGCAGGTGGGGAGACTGAGGAAGGATGAAGACAAGAATCTGTATATCATTGCTGCCCTTTGCTCATACAGGCTTTCCAAACCCTTTGTCGTTCCCTCTCTTCCTTTCCCTTTGCCTTTCTAATATAGAAGATAATTCAGGATCAGTTTCTTGGCTGAAAGGTTGATACAGAAGGAACAAGCTCATGGACTGTGTGCCAGGGAACAGTGAGAATAGGTCCCGATACCATAAATTCTCCTCAGCTTGTTTTTAACTTTGGGTGGGAAGGATGCTTTTTGCTCAGCTATCAAACCACACAACTGCAAACCAGGAACTGGGAGCCTTTGGTCTGCCTTTGGTCAGGAAGGTATGGAGATGACAGGCTGAGAGAGTTTGGGTTGTTCAGCCTGCAGAAGAGAAGGCTCCGGGGAGGCCTTGTAGCAGCTTTCCAGTATCTGAAAGGCACCTGCAAGAAAGCTGGAGAGGGACTTTTTACAAGGGCATGTAGTTATAGGATGAGGGATAATGGTTTTAAACTGGAAGAGGGGAGATTTAGGATAGATATTAGGAAGAAATTTTTCACTCTGAGGGTGGTGAGCCCCTGGTGCAGGTTGCCCAGAGAAGCTGTGGCTGCCCCATCCCTGGAGGTGTTCAAGGCCAGGTTGGATGGGGCTTGGAGCAACCTGGGCTGGTGGGAGGTGTCCCTGCCCATGGCAGGGGGGTTGGAACTAGGTGATCTTCAAGGTCCCTTCCAACCCAAACCATTCTATGATTCTATGATCATGACATGGAGCACAAAGCAGATCTCCTACAACTTTGTTTCTTCTAGGGAAGGTTACCATAATGTGTGTATTGCTGCAGAATAGATGATTTTGTGAAATGGAAAGGCTACTCGCTAAAAAATATAGCAAGGGAGATAGGCAATGTGGATACATCTCTAAAATACACAGCTATGGGGTTTGCTGAAGTACAGAGCCTCACAAAGTCCAGAGGGACCCAACACTCCTGTGTGTGATTATAATTGTGATTATACTGTTGAAAGGGATTAGAAGCCTTCTCCAGCTGGTTTTCAGCCCAATATCTAGAAATCGGTTTTAGACAAGTAAAGAAAACTCTGGTGTTTTGTGCACTTTCTTCTGTCAAGTCACTGTCAGGGACAGACTGGGACTGTGTGTTTCGTTCCTTCTCATAATTCCAGTTATTGATGTTCCTAAGTGACACCCTGTTATGAGATGTGGCCGGAATCATAAGGTGACATATTTGTGCAGGGCTGATTTCAATATCTGATATTTGTAATCAACAAGAGAAATAGTCTGTGTTGTATTGTACACTCTGCAATAATGTATTGCCCCATGGAATATTCGCAATAAGAACAATAATACTGTCTGACTTGTATTGGAGTGAGTCAGTCCTGCAGAGTCTTGTGTGTTTTTTCGCTCATCATCACCACAAATTCTGCCCCTTGTGCCATTGTTTTCAGCTTGGGAAATTTGTCCAGGCAATGACAGCAGCACAGCGATAGTGTCAGATAAAAGCGAGCAGAGTCTGTACCGTTCTACAGATGGGACCAGGAGAATCAGTTAAAACTGCTTTATCCTTATTATGCAACAATGGTGGTTGTTGTCCAAAAGGCCTGGACAGAAATGCATTTCTTCAATGATTATTCTATAGTCTGCATGGCAAGAGGAAAAATACTCATGTTCTCTCCCCGCTTTGGTTTTTTGCTCTGCAGATCCGGGTGGACGGCACCACCAAGAACACACTGGAGTATGAGATTGTGCAGGTGGTGGATACTGGCCCCATATTACGGGATATGGCCTTCTCAATGGATCATGAACACCTCTACATCATGTCTGAGAAGCAGGTAAGAAACTCCATCAATCCGTGGTGCTTTGAAAGGTTTTATATTGATCATGCTACGGACATCAGAATTGCACACGAAGTTCTGATAGTGAACCCAGTTACTACATAGATGTGTTCCGTTGTTGATCTCATGATTTTTCGTGCCTAGAAACCATTGTATTTATATTCTGATGCAATTTTTGAGGGGCCAGGGGCAGAGACCTAAGGGGGCAGAAACCACCTCCAGTGTTGCTTTATGTAGTACACGTCCTACTGGCTACATGACAAGGAGCTGCTACTGCATCTGCGGCATACCACATTGCTCTCCACCCCCACTCAAACTGTGGCTACATCTGCCACAGATACGGATAAGTGTAACGCTGAATCATTTGGCTCCAACTGGAGTATTTGGAGAAGCTGGAGCCTCTTTGAGACACAGTGATCAAGAGTGTAGGACACTGCCTGCTAGGGTGCAGGCCAAGTTTAGAGTAATGTTCCTGTTGTGTTATTAGTATTATTATTGAAAATACTAACAGCCAGATTCCAAGGAAGGACCAATCTGGGTGTTCAACATGGAAGTCTGCCTGATTTCAGCAGAGTGCTTGGCCTAAGGAAGTTTTCTGCTTGGGGTGGGAGGAGGAAATACTTTTGCATGAGGAAATTCATAGTAAAATTTAAGTTAATCTTGTGGACATCCAGGGACTTGAAATATTGTAACCAGTTCGTTCATGAGTGCTTGTGAGGAGCTTTAGATCCTCAAACCAAAGGGAGCAATGGGGCACTTTGGTAGGGAGATAGCAGGTGCCCTACAGTGCAAGTTTAGTTCAACTGGAGGCCACCAGTCCGTGTGTGACATGTTCACCCGTACGTTGGGGTTCAATGATTCTTTGAGCAAGTATTACCCGCCTGGCCTTAAATTATGTACGTGGCACCAAACATAAACCATCCGCTTGATATACTTCTTATTGCCTTCATGAATTGCCTGGAAGATGTCTTGCTTGGGAGCACACATTCCCATAGCACTTTCAGAGCAATGTGGTTTCCTCCCAGTATCACCCGGTTCTCAAACACCGAGATTCGCCCTAGATGTTGTGTGATATGTTCTGATGCTCTGACAGCATTGGTTTATGATGGTCAACAGTCAGCAGTCTCCAGGATGGAGATGGGCTGCAATGTCCCTTCTCACCCATTCTTGTGGCAGTTTTACCACCCACTAATTCCTGCCTTAAAAAAAAACCACAGTGAAGAACAAAACACAAGTTCCCTCTTCACTTGTCATGATTTTATAGACCCTTCTCATATCCTCTTCAGGTGGCTGTTTTCCAGGCTGTGGCTAACACTGAAATTATTAGCTTTTACCTACGCTAAGAGGAGTTTTCTCCTGGCCCATAAGGCAGGGAGGGATACATGCAGTTTTTGGTGGGAGGTATTTAGCAGGGTTGCTGTGATCCAGGAGCTCAGGTGTGGCAGGCTGGCTATCCTTCTCCCCATGCAAAGTTGGGGCGTTATAGTTTCCAATCTATGACTGTCATTTCTTCTGCTTGATTAATTTTATTTTAAATATTTTGTGTCGCTGCAATGTCTCCAACCCTCTCCCTATGCTATGGATACCTCAAAGTGGGAGAGGGGAGCAACTTTGTACACTCGTCCTTATTAATGAGGCTGCGAGATGATGATAACTCAGGAGAAAGGACGTGATGACAGAGCTGGCATTGCTTTCTTATCTGCTCCATGCTGGGCAAGGATGGGATGTCGTCCCCAGTGCTGAAGTGAAAACGGTCCTAGTCACCTGCTGGGATGGGGTGGGGAGCTGGAGACAGGCACTGCTTGTGAGCTCCTGGGAGACCTTGGTCAAGACATGGTTCCTTTTTCTCATCCTTTTACTCTGTGGATTCTTTTATTTTTATTTAGCAGAATGGGGCTCCCTGCATGGTCACACCCCTTAAGCATGTCAATATGCCAGTAATCAACCCACTGATTTCAGATTTGCCCAGAGTTTCCGTTTTGTGCAGGCCCATTTGGCAACAGGTCACTTTAGATAGCACCACTGGCTTTGTACAGCCGATTTACAGAGATGATATATTAGACTCCTTTGGGCTGGGTGGTATCCTAACACACCCAGGAGCTGTCTCGATTCTCTCTAGGAGAGGGCAATGGGACAGAACTATTTACTCACTCACTTCTTAAGAAAAAAAATGAGATCTGGAACAAGAGGAGCAACTTGGTTTTCCTCCAGAAACTTCCAGGAACATCTTCTTGCTGGTACATTGACTACCTGCACTGCCCTGACCATTACAATGTGAGCAGACTCATTTTGTGGTTGGCTATTCTGAAGCACAAGCTTAGGCAGGTTTTTTTAGGACCACAAATTGTTGATGGAGCCCTACAGAGAACTCAGGAGCCCCGAGTCCCTGTCATTTATCCAGTCATCTCCTCCCACCCGTCTTTGAAATCCAAGGGTGTTTGTATGAGCGACGTTAGTGAAAAGGGCATGGGCTGTTAGTATTTAAAATCTGATCTGATTTTGTGAAACACTCAACGCTACAGAAGCCTTTGCCCATCTCTGATTTTATCTGCGACGTAGCAAGCATTGCAAATGACAGCGCTGCCGTTGTGGCAATACAGTCGCTATCTGTGTGTTCATGATATAACACGCTTCAAGTGCTCGAATGAATTAACATTTGTGGGGCCTCGGTGGCCGAGCGTGGGCTCAGGGGTTTGCCTTTGCTGGAGGCAGGACTATGAACACCGTGGGGGAGTGCAGGCTGGCCTGGGAGTATATATCTGTCCACTGTATGTGCCATGTTATACAGTTCTTTTCATAAATGGATGAAGATTTGGCTTCTCAGAGGTTTTCACTGCCCACAGAAATCCCCTGATATTGTGAGGTCAGTGGAGATGAGGGATAGGAAGGTGATGGCTTGACCTGACCTTTGCAAAGGCAGGCAGGCACCAGGGATGGTCCTCTCCCTGAGGAAGGAGAAGGTTTCTTCTCCCTCCGTCTGCTGGCCTCAACCCTGGCTGTCTCCCTGAGATACGAGTGATTCAGTTGGGTGTGTAACTGCTCCATTAAAAGCAGGTTTGCCAGGCTTGGTTCCATTACTCACCAGCCCTCAACAGGAATGGACTCCCCACTGACAAAGCCAATTTCTCCAGCCTGTCCCATTCCTATCGTGGTTCTGGCAGCCCCCGCAAGGATTGCTCTTGCCATGCCCCAAACTATTCTGCAATAAGGCGTTTGGACTCAGCTCAGCAAGGCACCCTTTAACTTGAAACACCTTCAAAGACCTGTCACTATAAATCTGGCTATTAGAAGAGGCTTTTTCATGCCAAAAAAAAAAAAAAATATCCCCTGGCCTTTTCAAAGTCAACATCTGCATGGGAGCAGTTTCCATAGTGCACTGGGGGGTCCTTGGGCTGCACATGGGGGTTTTCATCTGGAGCTGAACTCTCTGTGCTCCAAGGGAAACAGGGAACTCGGCTCAGCCCTGTGGTCTGTGTTTGAAACAGGTCCTCCTTTGCAGCTCTTCTGAGCGCCCAGAGGTGACAAACAGCACTTGTTGGTGCTATCAGACGTGCTGCGCTCTCAGGAGCAGGATGCAACAGCTTTTCACCCTCAGAGGGGCCCCGTTATATATAAATACATATTTTATAGGGAGATTGATTGAACGAGGGAGGTGGGAAGATTTGTCACTGAAACCCAGAGACACAGTATACAAAGGTCCCATCATTTCACGGAGGTGCAGGCGTATGTGTGTTTCAATGTCCAGAGTGTCGATTCCTCATTTGTCTGTCTGAATGTCACTTGTCCCTGTATCGAGATGTTCCCTGGGGGTCACGGGAATATCGGTACATTGGAGGCTTGGGATGGTTCGGGGATTTTTTTATTTTTTTTTTTTTCCGTTTCTGGTGTGCAGACACTGGGGAGCCCTCTGCCTCACACGCTGATCTAAGGGGATGAGGAGCAGATGGGAAATGCTGTTGGAAGAGCAGGGGAGGGAGGCCTGCAGTATCTCTGCATCTCCTCTGCTCCTCATCACACACACACATACCTCCTTAGGTCCCTCTTCCTCCTCTAACCCTCTCTCTGAATCTTTTTCTCCTCCCAATTGAGAAGCCTGAGCCTCCAAGCTCCCTGGAGCTCTCTGCAGGGATCGAGGTGTTTCGTTCACCCTTTTCTCACTATCCCTCATCCCTTTCTCTCTCTCTCCGATCCCATCCCTCTTGATGGCACCATCCTCTCATTTGCAGGCTGACACTTGCTTTTCTGTCACTCCTCTGCTCCTGGCATCCCTGTTCCTTCGCTCTCTCCTCTTCCAGCAGTCCCCACGCTGACCCCACCGTGCCTCCTTGCTTCCTCGACGCTTCAGTGTGGACATGCACACGCAGCGTGGAGCTACGTGCCAGGAGGTGCAGGATACTCGTTTTCCCGTTATGGCTTTGCACTAGTATTTGGAAGGTGGCTTCCACCACCCTCTAAATAACTTTTCTTTCAGCGTGTTGGACTCCCGGGTCTCTGGGAGTGTTAGGTGTGTTTTGCAAAGCTGATGCAGCACCTGGAAGCAACTCCAGGACATGAGAATCACAGCTCTTCCCTTTGATATAGAGGGATCAAAGAAAAGAGCCAGAGAAAACGAACTTAAAGGCTCAAAAACCAGAAGGCAAACAGCGAGAGGCCCCAGCTTCATATTATTAAACTTCCAAGGCTTTGAGCTGCCTCCTACTTTTGGTTTACTAATGGCTGGGGAAGACTCTGTTCTGCAAACAGTTTATGAGTAACCCTACGTTTGACTCAAGGAAGGAGATTTGCTGTCCCTCTCAGTGCAGGCAGGTATGGTTCACGCAGGTGAGTCAGCTTCGTGCTCCAGCGGGAAGCTGTGCTTCCCTGTAAAATAGCAAAAAGTCATCCATGATCTGGGAATAAATCACATCTGTGTGGTGCTATCATTCCCTAAAACCATTACAGCATGTCTAAGGTGAGACTGGTAGGGTCACGCGTAGCAGAAGCAGATAGGTATTTTG